GCCTCATAAGAGTTTCCTCGGGGTCTTTGGGTTTCATCTTGATTTGCGGTGTACCCTCCCTTCCTCAAACATAGAACCTGTGGGAGGGTACCCCTTTAAGGGACTTTTGTCAGGTGCCATGTTAGTGGGAGTGAGGGGAATGTTTGAAATGCACCTGAGAGACGCCCAGCGAAGCCTCTTGGCTCAGCGAGACATCGCCTTGACGCGAAGGGCGAGGCGCGGGAGAGATGCAGTTGGGTGCAGATTTGGCTCCCGTTTGTGTCGCCTTTCTCACTCGCTAAGTTCCTGCAGTTTTCACTGTTACTGTTGAAAGAACATATTCGTGGCAAACAACATTTTGGACCCTTTATGCCAATCCGCTCAGGAAGTGACTTTCTCAACAATCCGGAACATGTCACACCAAACACACTTTGTGCGAGGGTACACACAGAGTGAAATATATAGCTGGTATGGTTTGCAAGGGGTCACTACACTGTTACGAGTGTTGCTCAGGGTTTCTAGGGGTTGCTCCAGACAAACTCTTCCAAGGCCAAGCTCTTGTGCATCAGTACCCCACCCTTGGGATCCATGTCCAATTTGGGGCCTTTTGCAAACCCTTCAAGGGCATTTGCTGTCCGCCAATACTGGCATAAATGGCAACGGGTCTTGAGAATCTTTTGGTTTCCCTACAGTTCGCTTTGGTATTGGTAGCTTTAATCACCCGACAAAGTCACCTAAAATTGAGCTTTCCATGGGGCAATGTTTGTAGGATGGAAATCCAGTTGGAACCCTCACCAACTTTTGAGGAACAGCATTTGTCTTTGCGCCACGAAATTGGAGTAACCAAAGGTTGCTGGAGTTGCAACGCCGTTGTCCCTGCGCGCATTTTTCCCTGAGGCGCCATGACGGGGCAAGGGCTCTCGCCTCAGAGCACGGGCACCATGCGGAAGAGCTATAGCAGCGGCACCTTGCAGAAGACCGGGCAGGCCGGGCTTCGTGGGCTGGGCTTCGTGGGCTTCGTGGGGGATGGACGTGGCCCTTTGCTGCCATGTTACGGGGGAAACAAAACAACGAGGCCATCATTTTGCCGCGGGCCTGGGCCCTATTTTGAAATGGATTGATTCTGAGCTGTTTGGCCGGGGGTCTTTTGGCAAATCTCGGAGAACGCAGCGAGCTGGGGCTCACTTCTAGTGTGATAAGAATGGATCGACCCTCAAGCGTACTGCCCAGTCGCAAGTGGCGAGTGGGCCCGGAGGGACCCATCCGTCTACATTTGCCTTGTGTGACAAGGGGAATCGTGCGAGACATGTCAAAAGGCTGCTTTGCTTGCTGGCATGTCCTTCTGACCCTTCATTTCTTTTTTGCACAACTGCGCAACCATCGTTCCTAAAGCGGACCATGACCCGAAAGTCACATGTTCGGAATCTGTGTCATATTCAGTCAAAATGTTCTGAGCCCGTTTCAGGGTGGGTTTGAGGGCGAGCCAAAGGGAAACCCTCCTTTTGAGGGCTTCCCTCGCTGGCCCGATTGGATTCTGCACGTCCTTCAAGACGTGTTTTACAGTTCAGGTGGCCCAAGAGGTTTGTCCGTCAGTGACTCAGACCATGCTCAAACCTGGCCTTCGTTCAACCATGCCATGGTCCAAACTCCCATGGGGCACTTCCAGGAGCTGGCCCAAAACAATATGCGTGGCCACCCCCTGGCGCGTTTTTTTTTTGGTGGGTGTCGAGGCGACCATCACCAGCCCCATGGCGGCTGCCGGGTGCCCAGATTTGGTGCACGGTGCCTTTTTTCTTGGGGGGGTTGGTTTAAAGGGAAGCCAAAAGGAAGTATCCATGTTCGTGGGGCCTCCCTTTGACACATACCCGCGTTTTCCACACCCAAATGAGTGTACTCCTTGGCATTCCGCTTCCAGTCCTATTTGGAAAGAGCAACATGGACTAAGCTGGGGGGCAGAGTCCAAGACACGCACAGCATGTGGGTGCGTTATTGAGGCTTGTGCCCTTTGTGAGATCGGCTTGGGACACCGAAGGATTACGAAACCCATTTTTGCTTGGCCCTGTTTGACACGTACCCACGGCTTCTTCTCCTGACATCTCCGAGGACATCGAGATGCCGAAGCTCCCGAAGTATCTCAATGTCACGCACCTCACCAAGTTCAGGCAGGGCTGAATGATTCTTCGGGGCCTTTGCAGCATTTGGGTATAGAGGACGCTCCCCAAAATTATGACCTCTTCGTTGCGGATTGGCCGGTCCAACGGAAAGGGGCTACGGTAGACCACAATCCTTTCGTCCCTTTGGGAGAATAGTTCTTTCCCCACTGCCTGACAGTGAAATACAATTGAAGGGTGACATATTGAAGTTGGCAGGCTAGGGACCTTCCCACTGACCCCATGCTGGGTTTGTTTCCTGATTCCAACTGGGGGGACGTGAACTTTCGCCGCGTTTCCATGTCGGATCTTTCGCAAATTTCAAATCGAAGAATTTGGTGCAAAGATGGGGGGGGGGTTGGGGGCTGGCCAAAGTCCGGTCGAATTTCTGGAATCAAACGCGCTCTCAAGCAGCTCATCAATGGGCATTGCCTCAAATAGGGGAGCCTAAAAATGGGTGGTTTCCCTTCAAACACTGGAAGCAGTATTTTTGAAAACGTCACTTTAGCGAACCAAGGTAAGAGGTTCCGGCTATCCCTTTGTCCCAAGCCTAGAGAACTGGTTGGAAGTTGTTCCTTGCTCCAGGAAACTTCCTCCTAGCACTGGCAACCTGCACGGGTGGCTGGCGGAGGCCGTTTCTCGGGGCCGCGAATCGGTGAATCGGTGAATCGGTGAATCGGTCGGGACCTGTGGGTTGGGTGCCCTGTTCACAATGAGAAGTGGACAGGAGAAGTGTTGGAAGACTACCCTCCTCTTGAAATCGCCACCTGTCCATGGCCATACTTCTCTGGCCAGGAGTCCCCAATCAAAAGGTGCGCTTGCCGCTGCTCCTTTTTAGAACTGTATTTCCATAACCTGCGGTGCCCAGCTCAACTTGTCAACTCGGGCAAAGGTCCTTCAACTGGGTCCATCAAGCTTTAGCATGGCTTTGGCCCTTGTACCACATCCACCCTAACACCACCTCAAACAGCAGCTTGAAAACAACTTTCGGGTTGCGCGCTTGCCAGCCGCTCGTTTTCCCACGGGTTCAGCCGCCCTTACAGCCCGCTCTCGGACTCTCGGCCAGGACTACAGCCAGATCAATTGGCCCCTGCCGAAGATGTTCGGCAAGGAGCGATATGGTTACAGCCGCCTGCCCGGAGAATGGGGGCGAACTCAACTTGGCTGAAGGGTTCTTGTCGCAATGGTTGCGGTCTGGGGCCTCATCGTACTGACAACCAAACTAAGGCGGGCATGGCCATAGGCAAAGAACGAAGCTGTGGGTTAAAGGGGGCTGGTTCACGAACAAGTGGCCGTAGCCTTTTGTCCTGAGAGCCGCAGGAGAGACCTCACAAACCCCTGCCCTGCATGTCGGCTCTAAGAACCGTTCCTGGAAAAGCAAGCTTCAAATACGTCCGCTCAGAGCTTCAACGTGGCATTTGTCAAAGCCGAACAGAAGAAGCTTTGGTGTTCCGCATGTTTGTTCAACAACCCTGCCGGCTTATCATTCGAAACTCAAATGTCCAAACGGAAGGGTCTCAACAAAAGCTCACAAACCAGACTGTAGTTCAAAGACAGCCTTAGGGAAACAGTCCGCAGAAAACGGCAGCATCTCTGCAAACAAAACGCAGGAAAAGTGGAAACAGAGTGTGAACAAGTAAAACCACTTCGCAGAAAGGCAACCCAACGCGCCGAGGCATGATCGACATCGACGACCCGCGCTACATCAAGGAGCCTGAGAATGGGCAGGGGACCCGTTTGACGGTTCTGATAAATGCCTCTGATCACTACTAAAGAACAATCATATATATATATATAACATCCGATGAAACCCATTTTACTAAAACAACCAAAGTGGGTCCTCAAATTTGGGATGCTTGGGGCTTCGAATTCGAATATTTGTATCCTTCCCTTTGGTTTCACTTTGAACTCCATCCCAAAGAAGGTCTGGAATTGTGAGAAACATCTAAGTGTTGAGCGTTTTGATGATCAATTGCTGAGTGATTTGCTTTTGCTTGTTAGTAATTCTACTGGAGGCCCAAAGGATTCCTAAGTTCTCCAAGAGCATCCCGGAAAGTGTTCTGTGGCCCGAACCCCCTCCTGACTCCAAGAGGGGTCAAAATTCGGATCCTTTTTGCGGGTCAGAAGGGTGCTAACTCACCCTAAGGTGCCACGAAGGCCATTGCTCTTGCAACCATGGCTAAACATGTAGCCATGGGCAAAAATGGCACGTCACTCGGCGCTTTGTCCTCAAGTTCCCCAGAATTGCGGCCCCGTTGCTGCGGCGCATCATGTGTGAGTTTTGTTTGGGCACTAAAATCAACTCCGGCCAGCCGTGGTTCGCAGGGTTCTGTAGCAACTCCCGCCTGGAGGTCCCGATTTTCTGATTTTGGCACGAGGATCATGGCGTTTCCCCAACGCAAAACAACTCCCGAAATTCGGGTAGGTCTAAAAAAGACACCCTGATGCCTTGGGTCTTTGTGCTGCAAACCAGATTCCTCCGCAAGGCACGAAGCTGACGTCCCCAGAGTCCCATGCCAGGAGTGCGCTCAGATGTCTCAGAAGCTGATTCGTCTGCACTACGACCAGCAGATCATCGACTACACGCCGGCTTCTTAGTGTGCCTTTGTTATATTTCCACAGGGTTCACAAGCCAAAGACTCCTTCTCACTCTCGTTCCCGGACTTCAAACTCTAGTTTTTGTTGGGACAGACAGTATTAATGGCAAACAAACGTGGACTTTGTTTGGCAGTCCACTCAGGGATGGCTGGGAAAACAAGACAATGCTTTCGGCTGCTTCTGTTACTTTGGGTACTTTGGGTACTTTCGGTGGCTTGTGTCTTGTAACTTGGATCGCTGAGGGTGAGTTTACCCCGTCACAAATTCACCAGGAAGGTTTCCCCTTTTTGCGGGAGTCAAAGATGCCCTGGATCCCCCGTGTGTTTTGGGCTTTCAGGTTCTGGGGGGATTTCCCTGCAATGAAAACTCAAAAGTTGGGGTCCGACAGGCGATTGGCTTTTGGATGTTCCAGGTGCATTTGGGTACAGGCTCCTTTCCGTGGGTCTCGCATCACTCACCTCGAGGTGGCGGAATACCTACAAGGCCCTGCTTACCGCCGAGCACCGGCAGGCGCCGGTGCAAGCGAAAGGAGTTTGCTTCTAGCTTTTACTGACTTGCCCAAAGTCGGCCTTTTAATCTTTTGGTTTCCTTGATCTGGTTGATGTTTAGTAATGGCATCAAAAAGGTTAACCATTTCTTTCTTCTTCTGGAGCGTTTGGGCAACTGAATCTACTTTCTTCTAAAGGAAGCCAAAAGGGGACGGAGTGTTGGATTTTTCCGGACCCACTATTTAGCCCCAGTTTTGCCAGTGGGTTCCACTTCATTTTTGCTTTTGTTTGGGGATGGGTGTTCCAAGAGGGTGCCCCGGTTTTCCCTGGGAACTCCACTGAGCTTCTGAGACTGGGTTGCTCCGAACCTCAAAAGTGTGGCTAGCTCAGAGAGTTTCCATCCGCCACCCTGAGGGAAAGTGGGGGCCTGGTGGTTCGGGGGTGGAAACCGTTGCATCGGAGGCGACCTTGCCAGTGAACTGCGCCCAGAAGACCCGAGACCTCATGAAGAAGGAGGCGGGGAGATAAAGCTTTTGGCGGTTGCCAGCTGGAGTCGTATTTCGAATCGTTGCTTCATTGAGGTGTAGTTGCCTGGAAATACACGAATCCCTCTTAGATCCTGGCGTGGGAAGCTTGAGCCCTTTGGTGCTTGCTTTGCTAGAATGGGACAACTGCGTGGTGGAACACTTGGACCAATGTCTGCGAGTGGCCAAGGGAACTTCACTAGGGATCTGCTTGACTTCATGTCGTGTTTCGAATTGTGTGTTTCCACATACCCCCTGGTATGAGTGGGCTTATGAATGGTCCAACCCAAGCCCTCGTTTTTGCTGGCCGAATTGCCATGGTGTTTGTGCTGTATCTTCCCGGCTGATCTCTGGGGAGTGATATGGACATTTGGGTGTCTTGTGCCTTCGAAGCCTTCTGGAATCAGATGTGAAACGCGCAAAGCCCTATTGGCAACTTTACGTGGTGCCTGGCTTTATGAGGATGCTGGTTCAAAATGGTTGGTTTTCTTCTCCTGAGAGAGCCTCAAAAAGGGGGATCAAAAGACCCAACAATGGCCCTAAAACCCTTGGGAGGGATTTTTGGTTCCGTTCGATTGACCCGATGGTTCACTTCGCTCAGGTGGACTCCTGCATGAAGCAGCTGTTGGAGCTCCAGCAACAGAAGGCGCGACTCTCGCTTCCGGCCACTTGAAACATGAGATGACTTTTTCAATATCGGTTGATTTAGAGGAACCCCAAGACAACGCCAGTGGTTTTTGAATGTATCCTTTAGCACCACCATTTGAGATGGATGAAGCCCCATAAACACTGGGATAAACCACCTACCGACTGATGCAGGAGTTTGTGCATGCACGGTATCCTATTTTCAAATGAATCAACTCTATTCTAAAGGCTAGATATTGACGTATCGGATATTCCGATGTTCCTTTTTAGTTTACTGGACTCCCGTAGAATCATGAGTCAATTCATGTGGATTGTGGACATTTGTGAATTTGAGGGTGCCGCTTTCTGTGAATGGCCAATTGATAGGAGCCAGCAAGCTTAGTGGGGTGGTCAAAACATCGGTCACTGGTCAGGGACTTCCAATAGTTGGTTGCTGGTAAGTGAATGCTCTAATTATTACAAGTAAGGGAATGATCAGGACATGTACGAGCAGCAGATCAAGGAGATCTACGAGCGGTGTGACTCCATTAAGGCAACCATCAAGAAGGACCCGACAGCGCCCTTCGCCAAAAAATCCTTTACGACTTGCTTGTTGTGGTGGGCGGCCAATTCTGGAATGAAGCGCCTAAGGAATATTTGGTCGCAGGGGGCTCCACTCGGAGACACCTGGATAGGGACTCAGGCTTTGGCATGCAGAATCAAATTGTTCAGCCCTTCATGGCCGGCATCAGGCTCTGTGTGTGAGACACCAACTTTCATAGTTAGGCACCCTGAAGGGCAATTTTGAACATCATCATTTCGGCAGCCAGTTTGAGCAAAGGCAGCCTTGCACCAAAGGACAATCGTGCGTTCAGCATCCGAAAAGAACCAATTTGTTAGACCCGGTTCGGGGCTTCCTTGGCAGGAGAACGACTTGGAGGATCTGCGGCTGACGATGGAGAAGCAAACCAAGGACGCTGTTGTTTGTTTCTGGATGGCATACTGCATACATTTTGAGAAGATTCATTTCAGTGTAGAACAGCTTGGACTTTGTGTGGCCAATCCACTCAGCATGTGAGAAATAGGGGTTGCTCCAAGTCATTTGCGAGAGATTTGGCATGCTTTGCCATGACATACCCACGTAGCATCTAATAGTTAGGGTGGGCCTTGCCCATGTTTTTTAGGTATCCTAGCGTGCCCCCCTCCCTACGCAAGAACAGCATTTTTCAACCATTTTTTCACTATTCAAATCGTCATCCTTATTCATTATGCATATTTCCACTCAAAACATTTCATAACAGTCTCAACCTCAAAATTCATCAAAAAAATCACATTTTCTCATTTTCTATTCCATCATTCTTGTCATTGTTAGGATGCTTGAGTGGAAATAGGAGTATAGGGTGGTTCATATGATATGGTTATTGATGGTAGGATGCATGGGCAAGGTTAAGCTCATTCATATAAAAAAGAAAATAATAATATTGTTCAAAAAAGTAATATTTTCAAAAAATAATATCTTCAAAAAATAACATTTCTCAAAAAAAATAATATTTTCAAAAAATAATATTTTCAAAAAAAAATATTTTCAAAAAATAATATTTTCAAAAAAAGAGTAATTGTTCAAAAAAATAAATTCGCAAAAAAATAAATTTTCAAAAATATTATTCCAAAAATTATGATAAATTATCTTACAATATTTTTATCATAAATTTTGTAGAAATATTATGGGCAAGGTTATGTTCATTCATTAAAAAAGAAACACAAAAACAAATTTTATAGAGTATAACTATGGTATAATGAAAGGTTATAAAGTTTTACAATGTTAACTTATATTATAATAACATAATATAAATAAACTGTCGCCCCAAAAAAGGGGGAACCCCACCTAATTTCAAGAAAACATGCTGTTTTGTCGTTGGATTATTGTCTATGAATAAACCCCCGTATCTTCATCATAGTCAATTTGATAAAATGTCATAGTTGAAGCCTTCGGTTCTTTAATTTCTTTGTTATTAAGTTTGTTTAAATAAATATTTCTTTTATTTTTATATTCACCATTGGTTCTATCTACTTCTTTACTTTGATAACTGTTTGTTAAAGGTTTCTTCTTTTCCATTTCTTGCAAGATTTCTAAAATATTCTTATTCTGTTCTAAAACCTTGTTCAGTTTTTTAACAATCTTTTCTAATCCTTCATCCATGTAAATATATATATTATATTATAAATAAAACTTTTAAAACTAAACTTTTATTTTACAAAATCATATATCATTATAAGTCAATTCAAAATTAGTTATTGTGTAACTCGTTAAATTATTATTCAATTTACCAATTAAATTACAAATAATAGTTTTTCTAAATCTTGAATATTTATGAAACTTTTCAATATTATCTGTAATATAAATTATTAAACATTTAATACATTCAAACACATTAACAACATTAATGTTACTATTTTTGTAAATATTGTTCATTTTTCTCAATGTAATTTCATAAAACTGAATAGCATTTTTATTATCATAATTAGCAATAAATCGTAAAGTATATGAATATATTCTTTTACAATAAAATTTTAAATCTGATTGTTCAAATAAATCAGCATAATTAATAGAATTATAAAACATGTTAAAATCAATTTTACTATTTCTAAAGTCATTAACAAAATTAATTAATATATCATTTTCGTTATATTCTTCAATAAAATTATTTAATTTCAATTCTTTTACATCAATGAATTTAAGAATATTATTTATAACATCTTGCATTATAAATAATAATAGAAATAATTTTAATTATTATTTTTTCATCATTTCGCGTATCGTTTCCTGTGTTTCCTTATCGCCATTCTCGGATGGAGTAACTCCCCTCCCAAAGCGAATAGCAATATTATGAACATCTGTTTCTAAGTTGATACTGTCTTTAGTTTTATCAATATTCATTTTCTTATCATTTTTACTAATTTTGAAACTTGTCGGAATACACGAACATTTACAATTTCCTTTTTTTTTGAATTTCTAATTCATTTTTAATCTCTAACATCTTTTTACACATTGGACAAGCAAACTCAATAACTGATGTTTCTTTAACAACTTCTTCTTTTTCTTCATCAGTTGAAGAAACAACTGGTTCAGTCTTATTCTTTTTCTTTCTTCCCATTTATATTAATATTTACATTTTTATTTTTGATATATTGTATCACAAACTTAATTAATTCTAAAATAAAATAACATATTTTTTTACATCTATTATCAGTTATAACAACTTGTTCTATATTCTCTACTTCATCTATTATATCAATATAATCTGAATAGCTTCTATTCATATAAAATAATAAATATAAAATATTTTCTAGATAACTTTAATATTATTTTATTATGTCAGATGTTCCAATAATAAAACCAATAAACATAACTGTATGAATTCAAACAATCTAAATATGAGCACGTGCCAAAATTACCATTTAGAAGTATTATAGTTGCGAGTTCGACAGGTGGCAAAACAGTCTTGGTTCAGAACCTTATCTTAAATGTTTATAGAAATTCATTTGCAAGAATATTCATATTTTCCCCCAGCACCCAACCTTTACAGAAGTTAAAAAATATATCAGGGATGAATTGCGCGTGGATGATGAAAAAGAACAAATTTATTTTGATAATTATAATCCAAGTGATTTAGAAAATGTAATCGAAAGACAGAAGAAAATAATTAATTATATGAAATCTAAAAAAATAAAGAAACTACATTCAATATTAATTGTTATAGACGATCATGCCGACGATCCTAAATTTGTTAGATATAGTAAATTATTACATGGACTATTTACAAGAGGTAGGCACGATGCAGTAAGCGTAATTTGTTCAACACAAAAATACAATGTTTTGGCGCCTATCATTCGTTTAAATGCCAGTTCATTATATATTTTTAGGTTGAAAAATGCCAGTGAATTAATGAGTTTTATTGAAGAAAATAGCGCCATTGTTGACAAACAGCAATTATTAGATATGTATCATCAAGCCGTTAATGACGCACCTTATAGTTTCTTCTACGTGAATATGAATGCTAAGAATGTGAATGACATGTTTTTTCTCCGTTTTGAACATTCTTTTAAGATTACAGATGATTGATATCTAAAGATAATTTTTTTTACTACTATATACATCGTAATGCCACGAAAAGAAATAGATTATTCTAACACACACATTTATAAGATAGTGTGCAAAGATTTAAAAATCAAAGGGTGTTATGTAGGTCATACTACAGACTTTAAAACCAGAAAAGGATGTCATAAACGAGTATGTTATAATAGAAATGATAAAAAATCATCATTTGCCACTATATCAGTTCATTCGTGAAAATGGCGGATGGGACAATTTTGACATGGTTTTGATAGAAACAGTGAACTGTCCAAACTCACTGGAGGCAAGAAAACACGAGAGAGAGCGCATGGAGCAAGAACAATCAACGCTTAACAAAGTCAGAGCGTGTTCTTCTTTGGAGGAGCAACGCGAAAATTGCAAGCAATATTATAATGACAACAAGGGGCATGTTTTAGAAAAGAAAAAGGAGAGATATGAAAGCAATAAAGAGCATTACTTACAGGAAATGAAACAATACAGAGAAACTCACACGGAGCAACAACAAATCAATCATAAGAAATGGGTATTACAACATCAAGATAGAGTAAAGGAGAACCACAAAAGATGGTGTGAAGAAAATAAAGAACACTTGAGAGAAAAGCAACAACAAACAACAACATGTGAATGTGGCGCGGTATGTCAAAGTAATAACTACTTGAGGCATTTGAAAACAAAAAAGCATCAGGACTATTTGAAATCTTTTTCACCCGAAGAGTCAGCATTTCAAATTACAAATGATGAATATATATATATATATTCTAATTTAATGTAATATAATAATATGCTAATGAAACTATGTAGATGTGGTGGATTTTATCGTAGAGGTAATTACAATTTTCATACTAATTCTTGGATACATAAACTTTATAAGGTATTGAAAAGAAGGGCAACAGACCAGGAATTATTAAGATTTCAAAACCATTTTGTTGATGAAGAAGATTTAATAGATGATATGTGTAGCAACGCCTCAACAAAATTACCAGAAGATGAAATGACAGATTATGATAGTAATTAATAATATTAATGTATGTTAATATTATCAATTTAGAATAAAGAATAGCTACATAAATTTAAGGCAGGAAATTTATAATATGTTTTATCTTTTTTACATTCATTAACTTTTTCTAATTTATTTATTATTGCTTTCAATTAATTTATTTGTAGAATATCAATTCTTGACATTTCACTTATCGTATTTACATCTATATCTTTTATTACTTTAATAGCCTCTTCATCATCAATTTCTATTGGTTTTGATTTACTTGAACCCATTATATATAATATTATTTAGATTTTAATTTTTCAGAATTATAATTTTGTTTTTCTTCTCCGTCTTCTTCTTCTTCGTCTTCAGTTGGTGCTGGTATTTCTGTTGGACTTTCAGATGAAGAACTATGAACAGTAATAGGTGGCGAACTATGAACACTAATAGCTTCATTTGATGAATTGCTACTGCTACCTTGTGCATTTCCTGCTGTTATTTGATTAACTAAATCTGCGATATTTATTGTTGTTGCAATTGCGCTATGTGATAAGTTTAATATTATATCTGCTACTGTAGCGCCGTTGTGTAGCATTATTTCTATCATTTTTGTCAGTTTGAATCTTTTTTCTTCTTCGTCGCTGTCCTCCTCGTCTGGTGGTTTCTTTGGCGGTGGTTCTGGTGGTTTGTTGTTGTCAAGCATTGTAGTAAAGGCTGACACCATTGCATCGCGTTGGTTTTTCAGGGTTTGTGTTGCTTGCGCTCTTGTTGGCTCATGTCTTTTGTATGTGTTGTGCCAAAAGTTTTTAAGCATTATTTTAAACATATTATCTTGGTTTTCCTTTACCTTAAACGC